CATCGAGAAATAAGCTTTGAAAGTTAAGGTATTGGTTTTTTTTTCAAATGTAGATCTGCTTGATTTCTATTGACGGCGGCCCATATGGGTCAGGGTCTAGGAAAATGGGTCTTTGAAGGGGGGTTTCCCTGAATTTTTGTTTATTTTTAGATACAAGTTACTAAGAAAACAACATCATGTGATTATACAACATTGATTGACCAATCTAATTTAATTGAGTCATCAATTATTGTTATCATTCTATTTTTAGAATACGAACGTTTAAAAATTGGATTACCTTCAAGTTAAAATATCTCGATAAATTATTATATTAACTTTGGGTAAAAATTGAAATATATGTAGTTAGAAACCGGTACTTTAATCTGAATCAAACAACTCAAAATTTTTAAAAAATCGTCAAAGACCCATTTCCTAGACCATGACCCATATGCTATATTAACTCCGATAAAAAAATTCATAATATGATCAATATCTTATAATCATCTTGCAAATATGATCAGCCACAACTTCATTGGTACATTTGCATATGTAGTAAGATTTGTTCGAAATACAAGTTTGTGTATCACAAATTCTTTGTTCTTTAGATGGTTGTAAAGTTGAGCGGATGACCTATTTAACAAAACATTTATATAATAAATGGAAATAAACTATATATTTATTGTAGTTGTGGGTTTTATCTGTGGTTTCACGAGTTGTATCTATTTGACTACATGACATAGCTGAGTTAAAGCAAGAAACATGAGTTATAAATAATAGGTGGTATTAAAAAGTATAAAGTGACGAGATATTATAAATTTTTTACTGTCTTTATTAAAATGTAAGCAAACAAGTCATTATACCATAATTTAAATTGTCAAATTAACAAATGGTAATTATAAATTAATAATAACTTTAATTTATATGTTGAACATTAGGCTATATAAAGTTAATTAGTTGTTTCTCATAACCCGGTCGGGTCAGCTTTGTAAATTTTCGAAAAAAAAATTTTATGTTATTGATATGAATACTTCCGGGTGGGTTTTTTTAAAATTAAAAAAAAATATATATATGTTTTTAATATTTTCTGGATAATAAACATGTAAAATTTTTATAATTACAGCTGTTTTCATAAATTCTGGGACATCTGGCAAAAAATGATCCGAACAAATATTGCCGGTTCGATAAGTTTGTGATTCGGCAGTGATAAACTTTTGATTTGGATGTGAATTACAGTAATTCACATCCAAATCAAAAGTTTATCACTACCGAATCACATTTGTTCGGAGAATTTATGAAAACAGCTGTAACATTCTTTATGCTTTAAACCTCTTTAACATAGCTTGGAAATCGCTTATCTATTGTTAAAAAAAAAAAAAAAACGGTTATACCGGTATAATTGATAAATAATATAAAGATCACTAACAAATAGCATCGAAGAGCAAACTTCAATTACGTCATAATTTACATATCTGATATCTGATATTAAAATTTTACGTGCTTGATTAACACCCTAAATCAATGAATCAGAAATCTGTTTTAAATTATATAGTGGAAGATAATTTAGCTGATCAAGCGAGTCGTCACTTTTATTAGTCAGAATTCAAATAAACTAATCAAGAGAGTTATCATTTTGATGAGCTTTGACCACTAGTTTTTTTCAGAGTTTGATTGACTAAATTCGCATAATGAATTTCAGCATATCGTTACAATTTAATCGTAATAACTGCTTCAATTTATGGCAACATCACAGATCACTTTCAAATCGCATTGAGGGAGCTGCTTGAGAACGTCCTTAATATCCGTATTTTGCACTATTATTTTTATTTGTAATGCTTGTGCACAATCTCGATCACATTGAGGGAGTTGCTATGAGAACACCCTAAGCTAATAAATAATAATCACCATATGATATATTTTGTGATGATTTTATAGAACTCTCACAAGATAAAAATTGTCAATATTATAGTAATTTCGTACTTCTAATTATTATTATACGAATATAAATCGATCAAAAAATTTTCTACAAGTCATTTCTGTCTTATTATTATCAGTTATATGAATATAAAGTTAATTTTTAAATTCAGATACGAATTTTTAAATTCAGATACATCACTGATTTTTGGGCGATGTTAAGGAGGTTTTAAATAATAATTGTTGTAGATTTCATTAAAAAGATTTAATATTTTTAAAAATTTAATTTGATCGAAATAAAGACAATTCTTACGATCACTTGAAAGTCAGAAGTTCAATAGAATTTTTTTTTAGGATGTTTTCAAGTACCTAAATCAATGGATCAAAGTATTTAATTATACGATATAGTGGAAAATAATTTATATTAATTTACTCATGTCTAAATTAAGTAAAACTTGATTGTGAGACCTGGAATTTTAACAAGATTTAATAAGATTTTTTTTTTTATTAGAGCCTCAAAGGTAGTTTCTTAGGCAAAATTTTGAAATATTTAATCATACATGTGTATATACGCAATATTAGATATATACGTACAAATAGTAATTGCCTATCTGACATATATTTTTTTAAAAAAATATATATATAGTTCTAAATCTTTAGGTTGGTAACCTAGGATCTTAAGCATTTTTGTGCGGTTCTGAGGTTAAAAAATAAAAATATATAATATCGACAAAACCTAGTACACATTTCTTGGATACGTATAAAGAACGTATATTTCAGGTCTAGTTCTTCGAATCATTTAAAAAACTCGTTCAAAAAACTAATAAACCCCCGTAACACATGTGATATCATTATTAAAGATAGAAAAATAATATTATTTATATATCATCAGAAATAAGAAAATACAATAAGAAATTTTTGCGAAATCTATCATATATATGAATTTATCATTGAAAGGGACTTAATGACCAAACATTGTTGCCATTTCAACCGATTTAAAAGTCAGACTTTTAGTTGCAAAGGAAAGAACCTAGGAAATGGAACCAAACAAAGCAACAAAGACTGATACGAGATGGATAAAGCAAAATACGATGTTAAAATAAGAAACTTAATTATCATCTGATACACGAATATTAGAACGTAACATTATTTAGTTACACAAATATACTTCAATGGATTACGTTCAATCGTCTTTCATATCCCTACAATTTTAATGTAAAAAATATTAGTCATTTTTATATTAAGAAATTCTTAAAGGAAATTCAAATGCGACTTGCTTGTCATCATCGTGGACACGCTCTCGTTCTCCACTTCTGGATCGGCTTCTTTTAGGACTGCGAGAATCCTCGCGTCCACGACGAGGCGAAGGAGAGCGGGAAACATGTTCTTTTCCATTAGCAGGTGGACTCTTGGATCTTGAGCGAGAGCGACGGGTGCTTCGACGTGGGGAGCGTGAAGGAGATCGGCGAGAACTACGACGGGGAGATCTGGAACGAGATCTTGAACGACGACGACGATCACGGTCACGTTCACGATCAGTATCGTTATCCTATATTGAAATTAGGAATAATTAGTTTTTAATAAGTTAAAATAAAATATTAAATTAAAAAAATAAAATAGAAATTGAAAATTCCTATTTACCGGAGCTTCCCGAAGAATAATATGTTTACCCTTCAATTCAGTATCGTCAAGTTTTCTAATAGCATTTTTCATATCTTCATATGAGGAAAACTCAACCACACTAAATTGAAAGTGGAAAAAAAAAAAAAAAAATTAGGAATGTTTAATTTATTTATTACAAAACATCAAGAAACTTTTAAAACAATATAATGTGTGAACTAAAATATACCCTTCCCCATCGCGGTCTTTATGGCAATCGGCAAAAGTTACTTCTCCAGCTTTTCGCATTAGGTCCTTCAAATCCTTTTTTTTTAGAATAGTAGAGGAGTAGGGGAAGGAGGTTTTGATTGAGTTATGGTAAACGGACGATATGCCTCAACTATCCTCATGGGCTCTTGTATAATTTCCATATGCCAAGTACCAATGCCAATGGAAGGAACAAGAGCCGGTAGATCCCAAGA